AAAAATGCTTTGGTTGGTTGTCATCATACCTTGGTTGAATTGGAGGATGAGGAAGTACTTGGTTAATGCTTTAATGTTTGGGAAGGACAACAAGTTCTCTTGTCTTGTGATGACATGACATCATTCATACCCTGTGCGTGCGACAGTTGGGTTGGGTGCACCCACCCACCCGGTGTCATTCTAAGAAATGCCTTTTTGGTATGTGGTGGGTGGTGCAGTGTGCCGTTGGAACGGTGGACCAAAATACTTGGTGGGGTCGGTGAATGCAAGTCGATAGGGTTTGGCCATAGGTCGACCCGAAGGAGCCTCGTTAGTAGTTTTTTCACAATTGTAAGATAGGTCATGATCATAGTGATAGATAAATGGAACAAGGTTTTTGTTTTATTTCACAAGCTAAGTAAACTTAAGTTAAGTTGAGGAAGAGCAACAATACAATTGTATTTATGTATGTAAGAAAGAAAGGGTAATAAGGGGAGGGATGAATCAAAGCGACAAGGGCTGAATCTCAGTGGATCGTGGCAAGCGAGGCCACTTCCGCCACTACAATACCCCGTCGCGTAGTATCGAAGTCGTCCGCAAAGGATTCTACCCGCCGTCCAATGGAAATCGCGCTTCAAGGCGTCCCGCAGGCTGATCCGCCTCACGAGGGTCACCCACTGCACGGTGCCTTCCTGGGGCCGAGGCCCCTACCGCGGTCGCAAGCGAACGACGGGCGCACGCTGTCGCTTCTAGCCCGCATTCTCGACTTAGAGGCGTTCAGTCATAATCCAACGCACCTGGAGCTTTCGCGGCCACTTGGCTTTTCAACCAAGCGCGATGACCAATTGTGCGAATAAATCGGCTCCTCTCTGCACTAGGTTGAATTACTATTGCGACACTTTCATCAGGAGGGAGAAACTTAACCCTGCTCACGACCGCTTAAACCCAGCTGCACGTTCCCTATTGGAGGGTGAACAATCCAACACTTGGTGAATTCAGCTTCTCAATGATTGGAAGAGCCGACATCGAATGATCAAAAAGCAACGTCGCTATGAACGCTTGGCTGCCACAAGCCAGCTTATCCCGTGGTAACTTTTCTCGACACCTCTAGCTTCAAATTCCAAGGACTAAAGGATCGATAGGCCACGCTTTCACGCTTCATATTCAGTACCGGAAATCAAAATCAAACGAGCTTTACCCTTTTGTTCCACACGAGATTTCTGTTCTCGCGAGCTCATCTTAGGACACCTCGCGTTATCTTTTAACGAAGATGTGCCGCCCTACCTAAACTCCCCACCTGACAATGTCTTCCGCCCTTGACGCCCGGTCCGAGTCGACCTTTCGCCCAAAAACAAGGGGCACACCTGCCTCCGATTCACTTGAATAAGTAAAATAACGTTAAAAGTAGTGGTATTTCACTTGTCGCTTTCAGCTCCCACTTATCCTACACCTCTCAAGTCATTTCACAAAGTCGGACTAGAGTCAAGCTCAACAGGGTCTTCTTTCCCCGCTGATTCCGCCAAGCCCGTTCCCTTGGCTGTGGTTTCGCTGGATAGTAGACAGGGACAGTGGGAATCTCGTTAATCCATTCATGCGCGTCACTAATTAGATGACGAGGCATTTGGCTACCTTAAGAGAGTCATAGTTACTCCCGCCGTTTACCGCGCTTGGTTGAATTTCTTCACTTTGACATTCGGAGCATCTGGCGTGAAATCACATTGCGTCAACATCCGCGAGGACCATCGCAATGCTTTGTTTTAATTAAAGAGTTCTGTACTCTCCTTCTGCCCGTACCAGTCTGAGTCGACTGCCGACGCCGCGGGGAAGAGGCCCTCAAGGGCGTGGCATGTGCAAACACGAGAACGCAAATCAGAGGGCATTTGACGCTACAAGACACGTCAGTTAAATCCTTCTGAAAACTAATTGAAATAGGCATTATAGGTCATCAAACATGAAAACATTGCATGCATAAAATGTTTTTGAACCAGGTCCTATTTCTTTCCAAAAAAAAACCCTTTAAATCGAGACGGCCGTCCGGCATTCCCAGACTGTCATCTCGGTCTCCAAAAAATTGGGACCGCCGTCTCGATTTGGCTAAAAACGAGACCGTCGTCCCGCTTGGCGAGACGGATGTCTCGCTTAAGACCAAAGTCGAGACCGTCGTCTCGAGGTCCCAGATGTCCGTCTCGACGCGCGTAAAATCGAGACCGCCGTCTCGACTTCCTAGACGGCGGTCCCGAATTTGGTTTTTCCCCTATAAATAGGGGAGGGGTCTTGAGGGGTTCTTCACAACTCCTCTGCACTCCAACTCTCTGATCTCTCACTCCCAAGCACTTTACCATCAAAATGTACCGTGGAAGCCAGACCAGGAAGAGAAGAGGTTCTGCTAGCCCTAGCAGTTCCTCAGCACCTGTCCCTCAGGACCCCACTCAGCTCTCTCCAGCGCACCAGGCTCGTCTTGAGCACATCAAGGGGTACACATGGCACCCCATGCTCAAGTTGGACTTCGGCATCCTCGCCGAATTTGGGTGGGAGGACGACGTCCGGGCCCACATTGACAACATTGGATGGGGCTTCCTCCTACAGTCTCCTCCCACCCATGTGTACCCTCAGGCGGTACTGGAGTTTCTTGCCTCCATCTCCTACGCCGAGACTCCCGCCAGGATCCTAGGCCTGTCACCAACAAAAATGGTGACATACTTTATGGGTGGGATGTACCGGACCACCACTCTGGACGAATTCAATGTGTCCATCGGATTCGTCCAGCTCGGGGACGTGCTAACCCGGGACTACCAGGAGGCCATCTACGCGCGCCCCACCAGGAGCACTCCCCCTGGCCCTCCGCATTTGCCACAAGCTGCTGGCGGGGACCATCCACGGACGGAAGGAGAGCCAGGGAAAGGTAACACTCCCCGACCTCTTCGTCCTTTACTGCATGAGCCAGAGGCGTCGGTGAAACCCTGGCTATTTCTTCCTGAAGGCCCTCAAGGACTTCGGGAGCAGGCCAGTGGGAGCCATCCTCATGGCTCCCCTCATTACCCCCTGGTAAAGAAATGGGGGTGTAGTGGCCGGGAAGAACTGGCCTCCAGCCTACGACCCGAGTCCATCAACGGGTCGATCCTGGTCAGCATGGGGATGCTGCTATGCCACGGGACCCAGCTGATCCTCCACCCATCGCTGGATTTCACTTTGGATCTCCAGGAATCGTGGCAATGCGCGATCTCCCGACACCTCCCGAGTTCCAACAACAACAACAACAGCAGTACACAAATGACTTTGCTGGCGTGAACCGTAACATCTACGATCTGCGCCAGCAATTTGATCAGATGTTTGTAAGGCAAGAGCAGATGTCTCTAAGGCAAGAGGCCTTCGACACAAGGCTGGAGACGATATACCAATATCAGGAGGGAATGAGGCAAGACTAGGCAACATTCTAGTAAGAATACTTCGATGAAGTCCGGGATCAAGCAGAATTCTGGAGGCATATGTACCAACAATTTCCCTCCTACGGATCGTCTCCAGACGAGAGCCCACCTTCTTAGGGATAATGCTCATAGAATAGGACTGCTGTAATAAAATCTTTTATAAATAAAATTTTATTCCATGCATCTTTTTGCTATCCCTTCCAAAAAGTCAGCATAACCAAAAGAAGCTAAGAGTAAAACGACGTACGCTCAAGAAAAAAGCCAAAATCCAAAATCGCGAGAAAAAAGAGATAAAACCGCGAGAAAAGGCAGGATTAAAACAATTCAACCACCTTGACCAACAAATTCCGACGACCAAGCAGAAGTCAAACAACAAACAAAGACTACCCAACCAACCAACAAGAGTTGGGTGATCACGATCAAAAGATAAAAAACAAAGAATCCCTGGTAATCAACAAGGCTGGATGAACACTACAAAATTCCCAGCACAGACCGGACGAGCAAATCTCAGAAAAAACAAAGACAAGAAAGCACATCTCAACACCAGGCGCATGAGCTAGAGCGATGAAGCCGCCACCACGGCTAAAGGATCGGCTACCGCAAGAAGGAGCATCCGGAGGCATAACACCGAGATGGGGGTGTATACTCATCGAGGCCTTACAAAAGGGGGCTTACCGGACGGGGGTTCATACTCGTCAAGCACCGGATGGGGGTGTATACTCATCGGGCCTTACAAAATGGGGCTTACTGGGCGAGGGTTCATACTCGTCGAACCAGATGGGGGTTCATACTCATCAGACGAAAGGATCAGCTACCGCCAGAAGAAGCATCCTGGAAGCACACTTTTTCCCAGAAGATCAACCGCCACAAAGACGGAACATCTGAAGGACAACCGGGCAAGAGGGTCAACTCCTTTACCCTCCAATCGATCTCCTTGGCACAACAGGCCAGCAGTCGACTAGTCGGGTAAAGGGGGGGCAGTTGTAGACCCCAAATCTTTCCCGGCCTCATAATAAAGACCAGAAGACCTCCTTTTTAAAGATGGATGAAGCCTAAGAAGCCATCAGGAGAGACTATTAGACCCCATATTAGAATAGGAGGGATTTTCTGCATGTAAATAAGGATTTTTGCCTTTTAGGGTCGAGACAGCTGTCTCGTTTGGCGACACGGCCGTCTCGCCATTTCTGCAAGGTGAGACGGCCATCTCGAATGGCGAGACGGCCATCTCGACCTTGTCAGACGAGACAACCGTCTTGACCTGACAGGCACGAATCCCTATAAATAGTCGCGCCATTCCGCTCATTTCACACAGTTCTTCCATTCTCTCTCTAGTCACCTCCTCAAATTCTCTTTCTAGAATCCCTCCGAATCATTTCTGGAGTTTCTGAGAGCTTTTTAGAGTTTTTATAGCGTTTTCGAGAGATTTCGGCACTCTAAAGAGTGAAGGGCTGCCAAAAAGCACCCTAGTTTTCAAGAAATTAATAGAAAGCTTGCCTCGGAGGTTTCTACACTCTCTCTCTCTCCTTTAGCGCTTTATTTTTAATTATGCAATAGATATTAAGGGCCATGTAGTCGTAATTTTAAATTCTGCAAATAAAGGGTAAAAGCGTATTTTCACCGGTTTATTTATTTAAAGTAGTTGGCCTATCATAGGGAACCCAAAAGGGGCATCGTAAGGGAACTAACACTTCCCTTAGCGTAACTAACTCCCTTACCCAACTCTGGTTCTAATGACCAAAGTTGATTTTTCGAAAACCAACGCCTTTTTACTCCTTTTCATCTGTTTCAGGTAAAAACATCGGTGGCGACTCCAAAAGAACCCTTCAAAATTAGTTCTTGGGTTAGCCCGGTTATCGGACAATCCAAGAGCGCCTTTTCGAAAACCTCGCCCCTAGGTTCAGCCGGTTATCGGACAACCTAAAGGCGTTGTAACCACACCAATAAAAAACACGAAAATTGGAAAGTCGGAACAATCGCGTCGCTCCAACCGCCTCGTTTTTACGGCGGCGACATTGGTATCCATGCAGGGCGAAGGGTAACATTTCGTGCCAATCTCTATATGTTATTACCATCTTTTGGATGATTTTCTTGATGTTCTTGTTGGCCGCTTCTGCTGCACCGTTCATCTTGGGTAGGTATGGAGAGGAATTGTGATGTTGAATTTTAAATTCTTGGCATAACTCCTTCATCATCTTATTGTTCGGATTGGTCCCATTATCGGTAATGAGACGATGGGGGATGCCATACCAACACAGGATATTTTTCTTGACGAAGGTGGTCACTACTTTCTTTGTCACATGTGCGTAGGACGCCGCTTCTACCCATTTGGTAAAGTAGTCAATGGCCACCGGGATGAAGCGATGACCATTGGACGCTTTGGGCTCGATGGGTCCAATAACATCCATGCCCCACATGGAGAAAGGCTACGGTGTAGGCAGGATGTTGAGGAGTGTCGGTGGGACATGAATATTGTCGGCGTAGACCTGGAATTTGTGACATTGCTTAGCGTATTGATGACAATCACCTTCCATCGTGGACCAGAAGTATCCTGCCCTTAGGATCTTTTTTGCCATGACATGCCCTGACGTGTGAGTTCCGAAGGCTCCTTCATGAATTTCCTTAATCAGGGTTTGAGCCTCTTTGCGGTCTACACACCTCAGCAGGCTGGAGTCAAAATTTTTCTTATAAAGGGTTCCTCCAATCAGCGTGAACCCTATAGCTCTCTTCCGAATGGTCCTTTTGTCATTATCATTAATTCCCTCGGGATATTCGCCCTTCATGAGGTATCGCTTGATGTCCTGATACCAAGGGGATTTGT